GGAATCCGTGTGAGTGGTGGCACGTCCAAGCTGCAAGCTCAGCTCAGCACAGGGGATTTGTGACCTGGGTTTGCACTAAGCCAGGAGAACCTGTGCTTGGTAGGGTGCCACAGCTCTGCCACCCATGGCCAGCCCAGGGGGTTTCCTCCATGGGAGAGGTTTCACCCAAGGCTCTCCCAGCAGCAAATCCCCAAATGCTGCCCAGATGTTTAACAAGGCAGCAGCAGCTGAAGGCTGAGAGGTTGAATTCATGCAAATCCATGTCCCAGTAGTGCCCAGGGATGGAGAAGGATCAAGCCTTAGGAAAAAAAGGAACATGAGCTGGGAATGAGCAGGCTGAGGGCCTGCCCAGTGCTGAGAGATGGGGAATACCAGGTCCCATCTCTCTCCTCACCTCATCCTTTCTCATTCCTCTTTTTGCCTTGCAGCTGGCCAAGCCAGCACATTTGGGACCCGGACCCCTCAGCTGAGTTCCCAGCCCAGGCCTCCCTGGCTTGGCCCCCCCCTCACCCCACAGTGTCCCGGTGCCATCAGCACAAGCCTCCCCCGGTGCTGGGAGACCAGCGCCTCCCCGACGCGGCTCCACCATTGATCCCCCCTTTTGCTAACAAGCCCCCGCCTCTCCAGGCTCTAATTAAAATGGATTGAGGTTTATTTAAATGCCCTCCTTTCCCTGCCGCCGAGAGCGGGATGCACTTTGCTTAGCAACCGGCGAGGGGAGAGGAGCTGGATCGATACCGGCTCCGCGGCTCCGTGACACCAGCAGACACTGGCCTGACAGCGCTCGGCGCCGATGGGGCTCTGAGCTCCTCACCAGCACCAAACCTGCTCTCTTGCCCAAAAAAATGCTGGCACAGCCCCCAAAAAAAACCTCTGGGTAGATATGGAGGGATGGACAGACAGAGGGGGAGAAGGAGAAAGGGGCTTGCCAAGGGCGGACGGGCAGACAGACTCTTCAGCCTCCCAAGTCTTCTCCTGCCTCCCCTCCACCAAAAGGATGGGAATGTTTGGGTGGACCAAGATCCGGAGCGGTGGTTGTTCAGGACAAGGTGCCCTGAGGACACGGGGCCTCCCCCCCACGCTCACCGCGTTCATGTCGATGCCGTTGGTGTAGGACCAGGCGTGCTGGAAATACTCCTCCAGGCGCTGGCGCAGGGGGTTGGGGATCTGGTGGAAGCGGATGAACTCCTTCACCCGCAGCATCTGCGTGTGGTAGCGCGCGGTGCCCGAGTACAGGCGCTGGATGATGGCCGAGACGTTGCCGAAGATGCTGGCGTACATCAGAGCTGCAAGGAGAGGGGAGGACTCAGCAGGACATCCAGCTAGCTCAGACCTGGAACCAGCAGGTCGCCAAACCCCCTATCTACCACAGCCCTCAAACCAGTGGGTTTCTGAAATCCCCACTTCTATCTACCTCCCTGTCCATTTGTCGCCATTGAGGGAGATGCTCCCTTAAAACCCCACATGCTCCAGCTCGCAGGTCTATCCCTGTTTCTCACCAGAGCAGCCCCCTCAACCCTCCAAGGCAGGGATGGGGAAAATGGAACACGCAAGGGCACTCACAGCCAATAAGCATCACACAGATGGAGAAGATCTTCTCAGAGTTGGTGTTGGGCGAGACGTTGCCGAAGCCCACGCTGGTGAGGCTGCTGAAGGTGAAGTAGAGGGCAGTGACATATTTATCCTTGATGGATGGCCCGGAGGAGAGGTCGCTGTCGTTGTAGCGCTTGCCGATCTGGTCGCCCAGGTTGTCCAGCCAGCCAATCTTGTGCTCCATGTAGGGCCTCTCCACGTTGCCGATGGCGTACCAGATGCAGGCCAGCCAGTGGGCGATCAGGGCGAAGGTGCACATGAGCAGGAAGAGCACAGCTGCTCCATACTCGGAATAACGATCCAGCTTCCGGGCCACCCGGACCAGGCGCAGCAGCCGGGCGGTCTTCAGGAGGCCGATCAGGGTGGTGGTCTGCAGGGGACAGGTGAAAAATCTTAGGGACAAGCAGTGGATAAAGCTGGCCAAAGGAACGTCTCCAGCCCAACGGTGCTGCCTTTGAAGGATGAAAAAAGTATTTCTAGAGCATGAAGCAACTTGTCCCAGAGGTGAACTCGGAAATAGGTTACATGGAACGTGCCACAGAAAGGGCAGTTTCCCTCTGCTGACCAGAAAGGGAACAAGCCCTGAGATTACAGGTGACCAAGTGAGAAGAGCCAAGGCCAACACTGTGGTTCTTGATGGGTCCTCACCTTGCCAACTGTTGCTCCCAAACCAGCTACCTCTCACCCCACCCCACAGGCTCTCAGCTGAGGTGGGGCCTCCAGGTAGCCCAGTTACCCCAGGGCCATCCCACTGCCAACATTTTGAGGCTTGCTGGCGATACAACCCCAAATTTAGCCTCAATGGCATGTGGGGCCAGCCCCCAAACTGAGCTCCCAGCCTTCTCTGCTGGATCAGCCCTGGTGAGGGGAGCAGGTCCAGTTAGACACTCTCTCAGCACATGCAGGAGGGTCTGTCTGACCTACTAAATAACATCCCAGGTCCCAGCTGCTTGATAAAAATGAGTAATAATGTCCTTGGCCATCCCTCTGACTAACCACCCTCCTCCTTGCAGATGTGGCCATCCACTGCTTCCATCAAGCCATCCCTCTCCCTCTCTCCCTCTCCCAAACATCCCCACCCATCCCTGAGTCCCCTCCCTCCTGTCCTGATGAACCTCCAGGTGGTGCCTGTACCTCATCAGAGCCAGAGCGGAAGATGAGCAGGTCGAAGGGGATGGCGGCGACCATGTCAATGAGGAACCATCCCTTGAAGTAGTGGATGGCAATCTTGCCAGGGTGGCTCACCACCTCGTCGTTGATGTTGACGTAGGTGGTGCGGAAGTTGATGACAATGTCCACAATGAACATGATATCCACGATGAGGTCAATGATGTTGAGCGGGTCGCAGGTGTAGCTGCAGTCCCAGTGCTTCTCCTCCACCTGCTCCTCGTTGAGCAAGAAGGCGGCCGAGTAAGGGGTGAAGACGGCTGTGTAGATGACCAGCAGAAGGATGAGCCAGTCCCACACGGCCTTGAAGGGACTGTAGTGCAGGATGGTCCATCGGTGGATGCGTGGTGCCTGCAGCTTGTACTCAGGAAGGACATCAGCACCCAGGGACAGCACCTGCCAGGAGATGGGTGTGAGGAGGGTGGGAGACCAGGAGCAACGTAGGGCAGTGAGGAGCATGCAGTGGGTTTCCTACACCCTTTTCACCTTCATGTGTTTGTCCAGGAGGCCACAAGGTGAGTTGCACACCCTGGCTGACAACAAGGTCTGCTCAGCTCCTTGTCCATCTCTAATGGCCAGAGCACCCTTGGAGCAAGTGCTTAATAACCTTATGCCTTTCAGATCCCACCACGCTGGCCGGGAGGAAAGTGCCTCCTTCCATGCCTCCTTATGCCTTCAGCTCTGTGCCACCAGCCCAGGAGCTGCTGGATGTCCCTGGCACAGGGCTGTGGGGACAGCAAGCCTGGCTGTGCCACGGCCTGGCCCCGAAGGTGATGGCATGTTAAGCATCTCACAAGCCTTGCATGGTGCCTTTCTTCACCCTAGCAGGGACCTTCCCCTTGATGTCATCCTCCAAGCGGAGAGGACAGCTTAGGCCACCCTCAGCTAAGCTTGGTCTCAGGCAATTCCCATTTCCCATTGGAGCATCTCCAGGGAGAGATGACCTGTGGCCACCAACATGCAAACACCATCTCATGCTTGCAGGCAACCTCCCACCCTGTTTTATGTCCCTCAGTCTGTCTGCCCTCATGGACGCACGCTCCCACTGCACCAGTGGGTCCCCACATGTCCCAGTTTCGCCCTCCAGGACCAATGCCAGCTCCTGGTGGGCTCTGCAGCCACCCTGGGGACACAATTCCAGGCGCTGGGGACCAGGAGGGCTGGGCCTGTCCTGCTCTGGGCGCTGAGAGATGGTGGCATCGAGGGGCTTATTTGGAGCAGGGGCAGATGGATCCTCCCTGCCTGCCCCTGCTGCTCTGTTGTCCCAGGGGTGACCCCACGGTGCTGGCCACCAATGCCACCTGCAGAGGAGGGTGAGGGCCACCTCAGTGCCCTCTAGCAGCACTGAGCCCCCAGCTAGAAGGGTGTTTTTTTGCCTGGCTGGGAGGGAGAGAAGAAGAGGAGGCTCCACATACCCCCAGGCCAGGGTGATGGGCACCACCAAGGTGATGGGCACCACCACAGTGATGGGAACCACCAAGGTGATGGGCACCACCAAGGTGATGGGAACCACCAAGGTGATGGGCACCACCAAGGTGATGGGAACCACCACGGTGATGGGCACCACCAAGGTGATGGGCACCACCACTGTGATGGGAACCACCACAGTGATGGGCACCACCAAGGTGATGGGAACCACCACGGTGATGGGCACCACCACGATTCTGGCAACAGAACCAGAGGAGGAGGAGGGCCTGATCCTTCCTGCCCAAGGGTTTCAGAGCTCCCCAAGTGCTCCTTGCTCCTGCAACCCAGAGGTCCCCACCACGAGCTCCCACATCCCACTGACCCTTGGGGACATCACTCTGTGTCCCTCACCCTGGGGTGTCCCCTCCTCTCCTTTCCCCCCCCCCTC